AAATGCATACTATATTTAATGCATGGACACTGATACGGACACACTCCAGACCAACACCCATATCAACACATTCCGGTTCAATTTTTAAAATACAATTTTGTCCTTGAAGTTTACATATCCATGGCTTATCTTGGATACCTTATGTTGAAATCCCTATGATTTCATGAAAATCAACCTAAATCCAAGCGCTCTTGAATTGGCTTTCGTCTGACCCTGCATCATCCTAATTTGGATTTACATTTTTTTTTCCCCCGTAATTTGATTATTAACCCAATCATCATCCATATTAGCAATCGGTTCCTCACCCATATTAGAGCACCATGAGGAAGTCCCGTAGTTGGTGAGTAAGGCTTGATTATGCTCCAGAAAATGTATCTTCCTAGGTTCACCCTTTTTCCGTTAAGAAGATAATCGAATCAGGGAAGATCACTGGCAAGAACATAAGATTTAGAACCCTTCCTCTGAGCAATAATGCGAGATATAATTCACTGCAATGCTCTATTCTTTGGTGTAAGAAACCCCACTTTAATTTGATTTTCAGTGCAATTGGGGGCAATAGTGGCTCTAACTAAGGCATGATTCACATCTAGAAACTCATCATCTCCTCCTTCAGATATATCTAATACAGCACAAATATCCTTTGGAGAAAACTGAAATGATATCCCAGCAACCATGGTTTTGCATTTATTCCCTCTTGGTTTTAGATTAGCATAAAATTGATGGACAACTTCATAATACACAGGCTCTTTAATTTCTATATAATCCTTCCACCCAAGTTCCCTAAAAATTTGTTCAACACGCATATCTCCTTGAGGAAATTGACTGAATTTTACACAATTGCAAGATAGCACAGCCAAGTTTTTGAAAAAATTATAGCAATTAATGGCATCATCATCCACAAACAGAGCATTATCAACGAGGTTACCTTCTTCTTGGGCTTGGCCACTAGCACTAGAACTCCCAATCTGTTTCCTCTTGCTTCCGCCCCTTCTTGAAGCCATGAGAGAGAAATCCCAATAGCCACACCAAAAATACAGCAGATCCCACACAAATTGAAGTGAAAAGCTTGAGGTTTTGTGTTGGGTAGGCAAGGATTTGATGGTATTTTAGTGTTTAAGGGATGTGTTTTGGAGATTTGGAGGGATTTTGGTGTTTGGGAGAGTAAATGGCGAGTTTTGGGAAAGGAAAATGGCAAATCTGGTTCGAAGAGAGAGAAGCTCAACTATTTAAAAAATTTGCAGGAGAGCCGGCTATAATTACAGAGACGGCTGTAAAGCGGGTCCGAGTCGGGTCACCTGCGGTTGAGTCGACTGATGAACCTAGAGCTAGCTGTGGTTCAGAGAGAGAAGACTCTCGGTTTTTTGGGTTAAGCCGGCTATGAAGCTAGAGCCGACTGTTCTGTAGAGAGAGAATACTCTCGGGTTTTTGGTTGAGCCGGCTGTGAAAAGGGATGAGCGGGCTCTACTGGCCTTGATTGGGACAAACAGAAAGTTTGGGGCTATTTTGAAGGGAATGCACCTTAATTTGATATCTCTTCATTTAACTAAGTTTAAATTTGACATCCACTACTAAATAATACAACTTTAGTCATATATCAATGAATGCATCATCAAATATCGTGAATATAATCAAGGTACACATATCAATATGCACAATTTCTAATAAGCATATTCATTAATTTCAAGAATCATATCAAGCACTAGGAAAGACACATCAAATGGAATCATACTCAACAAGCATATGTATCAAAGAGTGAGCACACATAAACCAATAATTAATAGTCATGCTAATGTCATTATACTTAATGAATAAATGCAATAGGATAAATGATACCAATTTGAGCACATGAGTGGAGCATTCAAAAACAAATTTCCTTTGCACTTCCACTCCAACATTCTTGTTGAGGCATAAGTCTTTTTAAGATCTACTTTGCTTTCCTTATGACTTGGCCATCAACTTTACCTACAAAACAAAATTAAGTTTTGATTTTTGGTACCCAAATTTGCTTGGGTCCATGGGGGTTAGTACTTAAAGTTCCTTTTGGAATCCAAATTTGCTTCACTTTACCTTGAGCTATCAATCTCTTCAAAGGACATATGAAAGCAAAGTGTCCATTTGCACCACAACAATAGCAAGTAACATTAGGATGATAGGATTGACTTGCTCTCACTAAGGTAGTCTTAAAAGTCTTTTGCTTTTTAGAATAATCAAATCCAATGCCCCCTTTGTCATAAACATTTCTTTGAAATTTTAAGATAGAATCAAATTTTTCTTTACTCAAAGTAAATTTGGAAATCACATTTTCAAGATCACAAGCTTTTCTCTTTAAAACCTCATTTTCCTTCTTTAAATCTTTATTTCCTTTCTTTAAATCCTCATTTTCCCTTTTCAAAGCATTATTAAACTCCTCATTCTTTAAAGAAGCAATCTCACCATTTAAAGAGGTATTTTCTTTAACTAAAACCTAATTTTGTTTTGAGAGAGATTCAATCTCATTTTTAAGCAATGAAATGGTTTTAGTGAGAGCAAGATTCTCATTTCCTAGTTTCTTGATATCGTTCATAGAGCAATCAAGAACTTTGCATAAATCATCATAAGAATACTCAAAAGAACTTTCATTAATTGAACTAGAAAAGTTAAAGTTTACCTCCTCATCATTGTTGCTATCCTCATCATTGTTGCTATCCTCTTGAGCCATGAAGCAAAGATTTGCAACACGTTTCTCCAAGGAGCTTTCACTTTCCGTTGAGCTAGTTTCATCATTGCTCCAAGTGGCAGCAAAAGCTTTCTTCTTCATGCTCTTCTTGTTTTTCTTTTCACCCTTCTTCAATTTAGGACATTCATTTCTATAGTGCTCCATCTTGTTGCACTCATAGCATTTCACACTCCTTTTGGTAGGCTCTCCTTCATCTCTTTTTGCAAACTTGCTCTTGATGTTCTTCTTCATGAATCTCTTCACTTCCTTTGAAATCAATTTGGTGATGTCCTCCTCATTACTAGACTCATCATTAGTAACATCATC